CTTTGCGATTTTGGAAAGAGATGTCTTGTAAAATTTTGGGGTTCTGTTGAAATTAACTATTTATTATTTCGTATTATGACTGTGAGTCGAAAAAACAAGGATCTTTATCTTTGATGTATCGTGACAAAAAACACGGCTTTTCAACACCTGTTCAGGTCACCTTTGGGACAGATCATTCATGACATTGTAGAGTTTCTTACTTTCTTTCGTGTAATTACTGAAACACTGGGGGACGCTTATTTCAAGATTCGTCAGGAGCTACTCTTCAAGTAAAAAAAATGAAGTTATTGATTACCCTGTCGAAACAGAACAGGAAACCCGGAGCCGAAGGATCTGCAAGTTGAATATAAAAAACAGAGCTTACAAAATGTCCAAGCCCCGCAATTCCCCTGTGAGTCAATGTCGTCGAATTAGCAATTTAGTCGACTTCCAGCGCACGAGATTGAGTATATAAACAAAATGAAATTCGTCATAGGATCTCTCGCCGGGCGGCGAGCGAACGAGCCGAAAGGGAGAAGGCTGCCGCGGACGGACGCGGCAGCGGTGGAGAACGGACGTTCGCCGCGAGCCAGAGTTACAGGGTTGTCGGCGATTTCACTCGGAATGAAGCTAAATAAATCGCGGGGAATCGGAGATAATTTATTGAAGGTTTTAAAAATGTCAAATATCTGGCAGAGGTTTTTCTGCATTTTTTCTTATTTAAGTTTACTTATTACGTTTACGTATTAATATTTTAAATCTTAATATAATAATTTTCTTAATTTTATTTCTTATTCAGTTACTAAGGACACACAGCGACCACAATAATTACGGTTGGTTTTGTAAATTTGGGGGTAACGCTAACGGTAGCATTTTGATATACGGACACACGCAAACATCCATGCTCCGGGTGTGATTCGATCTCGCGATCCTTCACACACGAGACAGACACGTATCTTCAACCTTCGGAATCTCAGTTATTAAGGTTGGTTCTCCATTGTTTTTTTAGCAATGTTAGGTTACAGAATTTTCACCAAAATTTAAACAGAAGTAATGCACCTTTTCGGGTGATGAACGTAGGTGATGAATTGTTGGACAACCGCTTTGTAGTAAAGAAAAAATACCCGAACGTAAACTTATTGAGAATATAACGCCGAAAAGAATATTTAGGTCGATATCCGTCTCAAATTAATTGTTACAATTTTCAAAATTAACGAAATAAACGGATATGAGAAAAGCTCACAGGCTTTGAAGACAGGTGTTGGGGATGGGGAGGTGACGAAAATCAAAATTCAAGAAGGTGAAGCAAAGGAGATGGAAATATATTGACAGATTTGTAGATATGTTTAAGTGTTGTACCTTGTACCTCAAGAAAAGAAAATGTTGACAAAACATAGGACAATAAATTCAATTCTTTCACACACATTTTTCCAACTCTCAAAAACCCTACAATGCCGATCCCAGAAAAAGTACTTCGTAATAATCAGTGGTACTCAAAAGTATTCAATGTATCAAATTAAATATTTAGAATAACCATTAAGGAAAGTATAAACGTTTTGACATTTATATTAGTTTGAACTTCAGTCAGCCAGTGAAAGTATTATCACAGAATGAAAGCAAAAAGTGCTGCAACGACTTCAGTATTAACAAGATTCTGAAATGACTGCTATACTCGTAATATATTGAACACCAACAACAGTATTTGATAAAGGTGGCGCCATATTTTTGACACTAAGCAAGTAACGAGTGAATCCCAAGTCACTGGAGTGCACGTCGAATGTTTGCTTCCTCTAATGTACACCAAAACCAGATTTGCTGTGTGTAGAGCGAGCACCTAATGTTTCAACATCGGTAAATAGCAAGTTGCGCAAGTGCCGAACGCCGAATTTGTGGCACCGGCTCGAGAGACATTAAACACTCAGTCACGACTCCAAATTACTAAATTATCTTGCAAGTACACGAACGTTACTCACACCAACGACTTAGCAACGCCCGCTTCAGGCCACGCTGCCCAGCGTATGTCCACGAGGGCAGCGGCGTAAATATCCAGAAGACCGCCGTTCATCTCCCGTACAAGGCGACTGCGTTTATTTACGTCCAGGGTCTGTGTGCCAGAAGAGACGACTCGCGTAGCTGCGATGCTGTTCTTCATTCGGTCGAAGCACTGGAGCAGATGTGAAGCAAGTGACAGCGCTTGCCGGCCAAAAGTGTCTGGAAGAAAGACAAGTAAACCACTTCGCCGCACTTGGCGTGAGTGGTTAGATGTGGTTTATTTTATCTCATACAGATGTATATGAAGAGTATTATTCGTATAATTGGGAAAATTAAAGCAGCAAAACAGGCGGATTTTGGACAGAAAAACCCGCAATTTAAGATATTGATATAGTAAAAATGGATAAATCTTATTTTCAAATGTAGTAAATTACTTGCTCAAACACTTTGTGTAGTCAGAGAGACGAATTGTCAGTTCTTGATACAGAAACATTGGTTTACGACAAAACATCTGTACGTATGTGAACAACACCAAGGCCAAAACTATTCGTAAGATTCTTTCCAAAATTTATATTCCAGGATCAATTTCGCCCGACTCAAAGCTTTGCGATTTTGAAAAATGTCTTGTAAATTTTGGGGGTTCTTTAAATTAAGCTATTATTATTTCGTATATGACTGTGATTCGAAACAAGATCTATCTTTGATTATCGTGACAAACACTTTCACAACCTGTCATCACCTTGACAGGATCATTCATTGACATTGTAGAGTTCTTACTTTCTCGCGTAATTACTGAAACACTGGACGCTTATTCAAATCGTCAGATCTACTCTCAAGTAAAAAATGGAAAGTTATTGATTACCCCTTCGAACAGAACAAAACCCGAAATCTGCAATAAAACAATCTTACAAAATGTCAACGCAATTCTGTATCAATGTCGTCAATTTAGCAATTTAGTCGACCTTCACGCCACGAGATTGAGTATATAAACATTGAAATTCGTCATAGTAATACATTAATTATTTCTCTGTGCAGTGCTATTAATAATTTTGTATCGGTTTAAACTTGCAATATTTATCAGCCCTTGGTGACTCTTTTTATACACCTAACTGATATTGTAATCCGTCAAATGTTTTGCGGCCAAACAATAACTTCACAAACTATTGTGGTTAACAGCTGGGAATAAATTACACATATTTATATATCGGGTACATGTGTACGACATTGACAAAGATAGTTGCAATTTTGTTCACATGAGTAAATACATGTATTCTCAATTAGTATCATACGAAGGGAAAGAGGATTCTAATATCGTATTCCAATGCCAGTGTGCAATTTTGTAGAGATAGTTTGCGAAGATGATTATTCATGAATGCAGGTATTCTGCTTGGTGCATTTTGTAGATATTAAAAGTCTCATACTTTTCTGGATTTTCAGTGAAATAATGTCGTTTCCGGGGCCTGTTTTTTTCCCTGAGAATGAAAAAACTAGTAATGTAGCCCTTTCAAAATGAAAGTTATTTAAATTATCGTATTTCCATTATCAATAGCGTATATTAGATTACAAATGGTATGAGATATAAAAAGAACACAAACTTGATAGTACAATTCGACCATTCTAAACTAAGCAGTTGCTACTGAGACGTCCAGAAGTATTTTCATCACAAACTCCATTTTGATTGTTCTTGCAAAAGAAAACGTGTAGAAAAAGGTACCTTCTAATTAAAATTCATCAGTGCAACGTTCTCCAGCAACTAGTCATTCATCACCCTTCTGGATGATGACGTCATACGCCGTTGAGCGCTGTGCCTAGGTGGCGTTAATGTGGTTGTCGGCGCCGCTCGGCGTCCAAGTTGGTTCTTCCGATTGCCGCGTGGCGGGATGGGTGGCGAGGGCCGCGCCCAGCCATATATTAATCCAAACAAGGCTCGGCGATGCTATCGAAAAGCCATTACAGCTCAATCTAAGTTGGCTAATAAATGGCGTGCAGCGGCGCCGGCTTCGCCGCCTACGCCCGTGACGGCTCCGCTCTCGAATTCTCCACCGCCGCCGCCATCCCCACCGCCTCCACCATCGCCACCGCCACGGCGCGGACCGCCTGCCCAGCTGCCGGCGTCTCCACAACAGCAGTATTGGCAAATTCTCTGCTTCTGTCGTCAACGCCACTGACGGTTTAAAAACCGACTATGTCACCAGCATCAACACTGTCATGAGTACCATCACTATCTCTATCACTTTCACCTTCATTTTTGATTTCTGCCCATTCCCTCCCCTACACTCTCCACCCCCTTAAACCTAGTTCTTACTCCGACTGCCAGCGCCACCTCTCACTTCCGCGAACCCCACCAACAAAGACCCAATCGGCACCTCGACACCTTCGTCTCCACCATCAATTCCGGAACTGTCATCGCCTCCACCAACCCAACCTCAACTATTATCTCCCCTTACATCATCACTGCCTCTTCCCATCACCACGCCCACTACCCCCACCTCCACTTTCTCCATCTTCTGAACATTTACAATGGCCGTCACCACCAACTTCAGCAAATTCACCACTTCCATTTCAATAGCCACAACTACCCTCACTGATTGCCCACCACTGCTCCACCTCCAGTATCTCGTTCACCCTCCCGAGTTCGTAATCTTTTCTACCGCCCAAAGTCGACAAGTCGTCCATTATGCCGACACAACTATCACAACCATTTCCGTTTCCCGATCCTTCCACTGTAGCTTCTTCAATCACCGTTACCACCATGACGCCACCGCTAGCGCAACGGTTTCGTCGGTTCCAGCGCCGCCCGTCGCCCGCCTCCGCCGCCACTGTCGCCGCCTCGGGCGCGCTGATATCTCATAATTACAGCGGTATTTAATGGACTGCCTCCCGCGCCTTCGCTGCCGTCGCCGACTGCAGAGTTTGCCCGAGCCCTGGGCGGGTGATGCGCTGGTGATAGAAGGCGTCTGCAGGGGCGAGCCCGGAAGCAGTCGAAGCGAGGAGTTAGAAGCTCTTGAGATGGAATTTTGATGTTAGGTATGCATGTCTTTGAAGCAGCTGGGCGCGACGTGATGGAGTTGAGCCGTGACAAAGTGGTAATGAAGGCAGAGTTCGACAATTGCGGGAGAAAACCTAGGAAGAGGAAGAGGTGTGAAGAGCATATGTATGGAATGACTGGAGAATTAACTGTAGATGGCATCACGGAGGTGCTGAAAGGGGAAATGATTGACTAGAAAACGAAGGCACCATTTAGATACGTACTACGAAGTATGGTAGCTACTACTTGAATTGATGATTAAAATGTCATGAACGTAAACAAAACTACGAGTATAATTCTAAATTATTGCCCTTAATGTTCTTAAGTCAAAGTGAGTACGCTATAAGTTGTCTTCAGCCACTTGACCATGAAAAATCTCAATGCCTCATGAATCCAGTGAAACCTCGGATATGGAAATACTGGTTCTGTAACTTTTCAGTTCTATGTACAAAAGAATTAACAATTTTCTTTGCAAAGAATACGAATGGCAAATTAATGATTGTACGGTTATACCAGTTCTTAGTAGATGTCCTATAGTCAATGCAGGTTTCAATACGCACATAATATGAATGGGCGAAAACCATTACGATATAAGTGAAATTTCATAAATTCTGAGATATCTTTATATTTAACTCAATATCACTGTGAAGTCCTGGTGCTTTGTTTGATCATTCAAATTATGGCATTTCAATTGTTTATTAAAACCACAAAAATACATTGCAACTGAAATATAGCCTAAAATAAACATGGTTTTCTCAGGATTTAAAAAACTGTCACTTAAACCGTTACGGTTTATTCACATTCATGTGTGGAGAAAAGAAATAAAGGACGTTTTAAACTGGTTATTGAATCCGATTGAGGCATAACAGCCCTACTAGGGGAGTGAAATCGCATTCGACGCCATTGGCCACTGATGGAAGTATGCACTTCTCCTTGATAAATGGGGCACTCGTTTTAACTCTGACCTGGATCTCCAGCAAACCTGATTACATATACCGCCAACATTACGTTTCTCCCACCCCTTCTACCTAAAAATTTTTCTTCATTATGCCGCGACAAAGCATAATAGCCAAACGTGATTTCTTCCTTTCAGAAAGTTGCATTAGATGCTGAGTACAGTAAAGAGTAAGTATGTGAGGTCGCTTTCGATTGGGCAATCTACCGCCTGGTCTTCGAATATATTTGGACGTTTAGGGCATGTATGCCTAAGCGGGAGAGAACAATGGCGAGTAGATGAGGTTCACGAGTAATCCATGACCCAATTGTTACGTTACATGTAATTTGTCTGTAATTTGCGTGATGGTGATCGGAGAAACTAAGATGCCCAGAGCTGCAGACTAAAATGATACGTCAGATAGTGCTTGAATTTGATATAGCTATTTATCTTGGGTCGATTATCCCCCGTTGTCTGGAATCGAACCCTAGGGCCTTCCGGTCAAAAAAGTCTGGGAAGCATATATGTGGCGGCGGCGATGGTGTAACGGTTAGCGTACTGGACTGTTGTACCAAAGTTGGCGGGTTCAAACTCGATCGAAGCCGTGGATTTTCAAGGGCGAAAACATCCTTCGTACGCCTTCCTTCGGAGGGGAAGTAAAGCCGGCTGTCCCATGTTCGTAGATTTACTTGCATGTAAAAGATCCTCAAGCCTAAATGACGCCTCTGAGCTAAATTCAAATCGCCGGTTTCTCGCCCAAGAAATGCCTCCTTTCTCTGCTAGTTGGTGAAAGGAGCGTAGCGAAATTTGCGTGGTCAGACGGAAGAGCGGGCCTGATGGCCCGAGTCTCGCCACGTAAAATAAGGCAAATTCAATTCAATTCAATTCAATTCAATATGTTGCTGTTGGACTTTCGCAGCCAGTCTAAGTACACTTGTGCTCTTCTCCGTCCAGATGAGGGCATGACCTCGACCTGTGCTGCACTCACCGTCGTCTGCGAGCACTTACAGCCTCTGCAGTCATCCATCATTTGAATTCATTCTTATACCTTACAAGCGCTACTGTCGACAAACTACATGTCCGTTTTATGTTTCCGTTTTCTTCCTGTGCTTACTCCCTACCTTCGACTTCACCTCTTTCTTTTTCTCTTTCTTACTGTTTACCGCCCTCGCTACGATATCCAACTACTTCTTTCACTTCCCTACACTCTCACCTCTTCTCCTCTATGACTTGTATAATCTTCCTTTTTCGCTCTCTTCTCCCTGCATCATTTTCTATTTCTCGTTTTTCTTCTCCTGTCTATCGCACAATATCCTTCTTTCCTCGCTAATCTTTTCCGCCAGGGACTTTGAACTCTCCATCAAAACCGGGGACAATGCTCGTGGCTGCTACTCGAGGAGGCGCTAGTGACGCCAGGTACAACTGTAGGTTACGCTTGCTAGCTTCCGCACATAAAAATCGGCTAATTTGAGAAAAGTAGGCAAAGTTTCTTTTAAATGTTCAATTGCTCGTTATATACACGTATGAGAAACCCGTGGAGAAAGTGTGAACATCGGCGCTATCTATTGTAACATTATCGGCCTGCTTGCGTCCCGCGAACTCACGCAGCAGCCACGCATGTTGGCAGCAGTTCGTGTTTAAGGTCCTGTAAGAAGGTGTTGCAGGAGAGCACGCCACCGTAATGGTTTCCACCACGTTATATGGGAGTTGTAAGGCCCTGGTTTCCACTCTCGACTCTTTACTTTCTCCTTTAGTCTTCTTTTGGGTTTTTTCTCGTCTTCACATTCTTCTCTTTTCTCATCCCTTTGCCTTGTATACTTACTTAATTCGTTTCTTTGTTTTCTCTCATCGCTTAATCACTATTCTCATCTCTTTCACACTTACCTTACATAAGTACATACATATGTTTTTTAAAGGTCCATTATCAAATTAAATATAATAATTTCTCATTATTCCATCTAATATATTTTATGTAAAACTGTTAAAATAATTATTGATTTATGAAGAAGACGGCATGTTTACTTTCCTCCTTCCATTGAATAGACGTAGTACCAGATGGTTCATTCCAATATTTACACACAATATAATCTAAATATTTTAGTGAGTAGAATGTAGACAAAATGCGAGTAAAATATATCATTTCCCCGGATTAGGGCAATTGAATTGTTTTAATATTTCAATTAATGTTAAGCTTTGTAGTTACGTTGTCCCATTTACTGTTTTATGAAATATTCGTACATCAAAGTATTAAAATATTGACTTCTTAATACAATATTCAGAGTAATGAGTACACGGAAGTCATATTCCTAATTAAGTATCATAAGATAATACAGCCATCCTTCAGGTCTTACACCAAAGCCACGACAATACGTCGCCAAGCTACTAAACCGTTTTCCAGGAACAGAGAATAAAGACTCTGAAGACCTCTTTCCCTCGCTCTTTCTCTCTCCCTTTTTTCTCTTTCCCTCTCTCTCTCTCTCTCTCTCTCTCTCTCTTCCCCTCTCTCTTCTCACTTTTCCTTCCCTATCCCTTCCCTCTTTTTATTTTTTCTCTCTTCCCTTTTCTGGCCTGTGTGTCACCCACCTTCCACGTCCTCTCCTCGTTTCATCCGCGCAACCTGACTCATACCAGTAGGCGTGGCCTCACAGTCCTCGCGGCGGTTGTTGATGGCAACGAGCAGAGTTACAGCTTTCGTCTTTTGTTTTTATTACGTCCTGTTAGGAGAGTTAAGCTTTTCAGAATGAAACATGAGCTCTAAGCCTCGGAAGCGATATTGGGTTGCAATGAAAGAGTAAATGCAGTGTTTACTGGCTATCGATGCACTGAGTATACAAGTTGCACTTTAACATCTAACTTTTAACCACTTTTCACACTCACGCCAACAATTTGTAATACAATAATTTTTTGAATTCAATGAATGAAAATTTATGCAAATATATGAAAAATTAATGAAAATATATTAAATGAAAATTTAATGAAAAAGTTGTCTCACTCGTAGAGTTTCTTAAATATTTAAATTGTTAATAAAGAATTGTAAAATACTTACTTTTTCGTGTTTTATGAAGAAGAGTTACCTTTGTGAGTAATATAACGTACGATATTACTTATACATGTAAATTTTCTAAAAATATTTTATAATTACACTTATTAGAAACTAACAAATTAGAGTTTCTAAATAAAACATATCTACGAATGAACTGTGATTAGTTTTTTGTAGGATTTTTGCAGAGTAAAAGTTTTGTAACTATTTTGTTCAGCCAATATATCTTGTCTTTCTTAATAACGTATTTGAAGAACACGATTTTAATGAAACTTGATATAGATAAGAATGCATACTACATACAATACTCTCCCTTCATTTTATAGTCATAACCTAAATAAACGTCCGATGATTTCAGCTATTCTAGATAGATTTGATGAAAAGAATAACTCATCTATAATGTTAGCCGTAATCACTTTGGCCTGGTTATCCATTTCCGTTCTTCTTGTATTCTCGTCTCGCCCTCGGATCGTATCGCCAGCAGACAGCTCCGCAAAAGGGTACGCCTTGCCCGTCACGTCACATAGCGAGTGATGCAACCAGCACAGCGCTCGACGCCTCCCCAGCTCCCGCCCCATCCCCAGCCCTCTTCCGCAGGCCCCGCCTCCTCGCGAGCCTCGCAAGTCGTCACCCCTTCACCACACCCCCTGTCCCTCCGCTGCTTAACCTATTACCATCCCCACTTCTGCCACCGCCGCCACTACTTCCTCAATCAGCTAGGGTTGCCACCGCTGCCGCCAACACAGGCTCTCAAAGACCGGCGCGGGAGATTCGCAGCGGTTGCGGCGCGGAAAGTTCAGCGGTAGACGCGGTGGCGGAATCCGCGGGACCGTTCACACCGGAGCGGCAATTATGACTCAGCGTTTGGGGACGTTTTCCTCGTCCGATGAACGGGGGGAGCGAAGACTCAAAAATGCGGGTGTACTGCCACGAAACGTGAGCGGCAGCGATCGAAACGCGTCCGACTGCGTTACCAAATCCGCAGGTAAGAAAACGTTGCAATTCGCTGCCGCGACGCTCGCCTTTCGCGCTGGTCTGAACGTGGCAACACGTGACGCGAACTTTCCACGGCGGGCACTCCACGTAGGCTGCTGGTCTTCCCGACGGTCTGTGAGAGATAACCGTGCCACTGCCACTTCCGCCACCGCCTCGCCCCTCACCCCGACCTCCACCTCACAGCCACCCCTGCTCTGCC